CAGCAGCGCTGTAGGCGGGGTGCGCAGGGGCGTCGGGCTGCAGCCCCCGCCAGCGCCGCAGCAGTCCCGGAGCCGCCCAACCCTTTGCTCTGCAGCCCTTCTCTGTGCTGCTAGGAACGTGTTTGAGGCTCTTCGTGTTGTTTTACAGCTGTACTTTTTGTAATTCGTAATATCAATTCCACTGTTCCGTGCGTGGTGTGGCAGTGTCGTTTCTAAGAATTAATTACGGTACTGCTCTCGATGGGATCAGGAGCACGGGAGGCGTCAGAAATAATGCGAGCGTTACCTGCTTGTCTTATCTCATTCCATTGTTTTGTTTCACAAAGCTTTGTACCGATATCTGTGTGATGTATCAGATACAGCTTATAATTGAGCCACATGCACGTAATCCGTTCCAAGCGGAGATTGCTGCCTTACTCCCTCTCATGGCTCTGTTGAAGTTAGTGGCAAGATTCCCACTGATTTAAGTGAGATTTCACTCCAGAGTTCTCAAATGCTAGGAAGCAGGTAAATCATACACATGACACACCATAAATTTTATCTAGCACATCCCAAATCCTGGATCGTCTCAGGCTGAAGGCAAAGAGTAGGGCTGGAGCCTGGGGTTAAACATAACGTGTCTCGTGTAGTGCCTCGGTCCCCCCCCCCCCCCCCGCCCCCAGTTTGACATCATTGTGTAACAAATGCAAAAGCTGACACTTAACACTTGGCACTGATGGATTTTCAGCAGAAGGCACGTTGTGATTCGAGATTTACTGACTTCACGGAGTTATTTGTCACATAAATCTCACTCTCTTGCAGCTACACCTACATGACTGCTTCAGAGGTCAGCGCTACTGTGCGTTGCTGCGCCTGGGTGTTGCCCTCGTAAACGTGAAAGTAGCTGCTTCTCAGTGGGTGGCATCTCAGTAGCAACGGGGGTCATTCTTCCTCAGTTGTCAGTGCTGCCTCCAGCTTAATGTTGAAAGACAGGAAGCCGTGCGTGCAATATTTGCTTTTGCACAGGGCAGGCCTTGTTGAGCAAGCCATAAAGCTGCAATACACATATTGAGATGAGATACATCCTGTGCGTGTTCTGATTAGGGAAGGGGTGAAGAAAGCAGAGCCTGCTGCAGTGACCAGGAAACGTGGAGTTACACAAACCCAGCCCTGGGTGCCAGAGAAACCTCCAGCCCACAGAGATTGCCTGAGAGCACAGAGTCAAGGCAGCCTCCAGCTGGACACAGGTGCCAGCACAGGTGGCATCTTTGCCTCCACCTTGAGAAAGGAGATCTCAAGAGCTGGAGTGACAGGGCTGGAGGCCTCGCTGCTCTCCTGGGACTCCCCATGTGTGAGCATTAGGGAGGGAGCAGAGCAGCGGTCTGCACGCAGGGGCAACCTGCCCCAGCTGCCGTCCTGCCAGAGGGGCACGTGTTTCACTGCGCAGGTAGCAGCCCCTCTAAACTAACTTGGGAAGGGCAGGCCACATTGCACAGAGCCCAGGGAGGCAGCACATTCCCAGAGCACATGGGCTGTTCGCCGTAACTCGTATTCATCCAAGGACCGGGCTAGCTTTAGTAGAAAACGAGGGGCAAGGGAAGGGGCTGTGTTCTGCCTTACACCACTCAGCCCAAAGTGAGAAGGAAGTGCGTAAGCATTTCTCCTCCCCTCGTGGCCAGAAGGCAATACCCGCCCCGGAGCTGCTCCTAGAGGTGCCAAGCCCGGGGGCACCCAGAGCCGGGGTGCGCGTCCGCTCCTCCCCAGACGGGCACATTCAAGTGGCCGGGCGGACCCAGCCCAGAGGTGGCCTCCCTGAGTCAGAGGCATGAGCTCACCTGCCCCTTTTTACCTCCTATCCAGTGAGGCCTCCAGCTCATCCCTGAAAAGCCACAGCAGGCAACACACAGAGGAGCAGGAAGGGACCGGACCCAGACAGATGGGATGGGGAAGGCCACGAGGAGTGACCCCACTGCCCACCAGGGTGGGTGGGAAGGGCGTAGCTGCAGCCAGCCCTGACCAACAGCAGGGCAAGGACAGGTCTGGCCTAATGGTATTCCCGCCCCGATGCGGCCCATGCCTCAGGCAGCTAGCATCAGTCTGCAGTTCATAAAGCCCAGCCCAAATTAGAGGATGGGGAACCCCTTCAGGGTCACAAGGAAGCGATGCAAAAGGTAAAGCAAGGACAGCTCCAGCAGTCAACTTAAATGCTTTTATTGACAATGTCTCTGAACAATAATAAGCAAACAATGCTTAAGTTTCATCCAAATTCACTTTCCACATGTCAAAAAAGACCTCAAGGTAGAAAAAAATAAAATAAAAATATAAATATCTGAGAATCCATCTTAATAAATAAATTAAAAACACAATAAAAACGTTTTCATGGAAAACTTATGTCAGAACATTCAGACCACCTCAACAATGCATGATCAGTAAAGTTACAATGAACATCAATGTAGAACTACAGTACATGGATATAGCTATTCATCTACCTACTAGAAAATAAAATAGAGTCTCTTTTCCCCCCCCACGTAAGATGGGTCATTGCTAAGTCATCAGAACACGATATTGCCAGGAACACAGTAGTTATTGTTAATCAGCTGCACTAGATACGAGTTGGAGATACCCAGCACCAGGTTAAATTCCAATCATTTAAAACCAAGAGATTAATTAGTTAATGCTAGTGATACTAAGGAGGGGAGGGAGTCACCTACCCAGCCATGTGGGACATGCTACAGACTACCAGCTCTCATGGATGGGCCATTGGGGACGAGACAAACTCCATGCGATTTGCTACATCTCTGGAAGAGGTACGAGGCCTCGGTGCCGAGTCCGTGGGGGTGCGCAGGCAGGGGAGGGGGCCCGGCGGATCAGTCAGTGCTGGAGCCCCTCACAAGGCCAGGAGGGTGGGGGAGCTGAGGGAGTCGGACGAGGGCTCGTTGCTGCTGCTGCCCTTCCGGTGCGCGGCAGCGCAGCTGGGGAAGGCGTCCGCCTCGGGGTAGGTGAAGACGAAGGTGGAGGTGTAGGTGCTGGGGCAGGGGGTGCAGGTCACCACAGGGGTGCAGAGGGGCTCCAGCTCACCGCTGGTCCCGGCCCCCAGCGACTCCCAGTCCGAGGCGTAGAAGGAGGAGGCCCCAGGCAGGTCCATGTCGGGCACGGAGCGGGAGGCCTCCCGCGGCCCCGTGGAGAAAAGCAGCTCATCGAAGGGCTCAGGCTTGAGCTCCAGCCCGCCGCCGCCGGTCTCCTTGGGCGGCCCGGCCGGCGGCGCCTCGGCCATCAGCGGCAGGGCAAAGGCAGCCTCCTCGGCCACGGGGGGGCTGGGGGCGCCCAGGTCCAGCGCGGTGGCGGCCGCCAGCTCCTCGGAGAAGCGCAGCTCCTCGGGCATCTTGCAGGCGGGGCGGGGGGCGGCCC